AGCACTTTTTAGTGTCATCTGAGCACTTTCAGTTAGCTTTATGGATGCCTACTATGGTTACAATTAAATAAAGATGGATCTTTTTGATGAGGAGGCAATGACTTTTTAGACAAACAAGGGGTTATATTAATATCTCGTTATGCCATTTTAGCGAAACATTATTGGAGCCACATATCAGTGTCCCATAAATAATGTTTTCAAAGACCTTATTGGGCTAACTATGGAAGTATATGTCGATGTTATGTTAGTGAAAAGCCTTGAAAAATTCCAACACATACCTAACTTAGAATAATGTTTCCACCTACTACGAGGCTACAATATGTGAATTAACCCTACCAAGTATTCTTTTTGAGTAACTTCATAAAAGTTCTTAGGGTTCATGATAACCCTCCAAGGGATTAATATTAATTTTGAGCAAATTAAGGAACCAAGAGATATGGTGCCCCCAAGAAATATCAAGGAAATTTAGACACTATTTGAAGGATTGCAATGCTATCTTGTTTCCCAGCCCACTCAAGAGAAAAATATCTACCCTTCTTCAAGATACTCAGATTGCACATAGCTAAGGATTCCAGTGGACTGATGAATGTCAAGAAGCCTTTGAATAGCTACAAAAATATTTGGCATCTCCACCACTACATTCTAAACCAATACAAGGAGAAAAATTATATCTATATCTGGTTGCTATCACTTCTATTTTAGTTTGAGAAGAGAATGTTGTACAATGTCCTATCTATTATGCCAGTAAAATTTTATCCAAAATAGAAGGATGTTATCCACTAGCAGATAAAATAATATTGAAATTAGTTTACTCAGCTAGAAAGCTACACCCATATTTTCAATCCCATATAATTGGGGTTTATACAAATCTACCATTAAAAAATATCATTCAAAAGATAGAGGCATCTGGTAGATTACATAAGTGGTAGGTGGAGCTAGGAGAATTCAGCATCCATCACAGGTACTGGTAGATTTTGTGGTATAATGCATCATTCCCTTCTCTGACAAACTACTATGTACTTCTCCTTCTTCCCCATACTAAACATTATATGTTGATGGAGCTTTTAGGAGTTCTAGCGTTGGTGCAAGAACTTTATTGATCTCCCCTTAATAAACTGCCTTTAAATATGAACTTTCAAGTAGAAAATCTCGTATAGAAGATGTTTAATATCAGGAAAATTTAGCATCTTCATTATATCTTCAGCTCCAGCATGTTAATGAACAGGTAAATCCTTTATTTCCCCCATTTCTCCATAAGACCCTAGTTATTTTCATAAAGAAAAATGCTCTGGCCCAGCTCTTTGATAGATATTGGGTATGAATATCCAATAATTAGGATCTAAATGTGATGCGTCCTTACGTATCACAGGTAAATTGGCCCATCCAAGAAAGGCATTCTAGTGTTAGAACTGTCCCTTGATCTTTGAAGAAAGCAATCAATCACACCATTACCGACAAGACTCTATATGAAGATTTGGATAGACATACTCCACACATTGCTGAAATGTTGATCAACTCCAAAGGGGTGGAAATCACAGCCACACTTGCAAATTAATCTCATTCATAGTTAAGTATATTGGAGGAGGAAGGCACGTCTGATCAGATTTTTTGGGAGCATCATCACAAGATTATTACAAAAATGAAACTTCTTGTTAAAAATAATTAGGGAATCATCTGTAAAGCCGGACACCACATCATTAGCCTTAGCAACTTTGTAGGACCTCCTCTCACCATCATTATGCACAACAGGGCGTGGATCTCCCTTGGTCATTGGATCTCTCAAAGAGGGCTCATCACTCGTCATGAATTTTCTATATGGAGGGATCTTGTAGTTAGATAAGTGATGGAACTTATCTAAAATAGTGGAAAGCCTTCTGTATAAGAAGAAGTCTGAAAGGGGGTGGAAGGAAGAAGGGATTCCTTCTACACAAAGAGGTGCCTTAGAACTAGATAGGGGATATGACCTGTACATGGCCAGGGAAAAGGTCTCTATTGTAAGAAATGAAAGGAAGAGAAGAAAGAAGGGAGGAGGTGCAAACTTTTCAAACCCTAGGGGGTGTTTATAACAAGGTGGGGTGAAGTTGGAGGAGTTAAGGAAGTTGCAAAAAAAAAATATAATTATAATAATATTTTAAATTTGTTAGAAATAATCAGGGAATCATAGGTAACGGCGGACACCACATCCTCAGCCTTAGAAACTTTGCAGGACCTCATCTCACCATCATTATGCACAATAGGGCGTGGATCTCCCTTGGTCATTGGATCTCTCAAAGAGGGGTGATCACTTGTCATGAGTTCTCTATAAGGAGGGATCCTGTAGATATATAAGGGATGCAACTTATCTAAAATTGGGAAAATCCTCCTATATAAGAAGAAGTCTAAAAGGGGGGTGGAAGAAACAAGGGATTCCTTCTACACAGAGAGGTGCCCTAGAACTGGATAGAGGATATCACCTTTACAAAGCCAGGGAAAGGCTTTTGTTGTAAGAAATGAAAGGAAGAGAAGAGAGAAGGGAGGAGGTGCAAAATTTTCATACCCTAGGGGGGATTTATAATAAGGTGGGGTGAAGTTGGAGGAGTTAAGGAAGTTGAATATATATATATATATAGAGACACACACACACACACACACACACACATACAAACACACATACACACACACACATACACACACACCATTGACCCAAGACTCCACCTTCATAACTTCCTCTACCATTGGCCCACTACTTCCATATTCGGGAATATAGGGCTGCAACTTCATGCCAAACGTTCATGAACATGGGTATGATCAAGCTGGCTAGAGGTCGTGACCTAGGCAGACTGCAAACATGGCCCAGGAAGGCCTCATGCATGGGCCAGGCGGGCTAGATGGGCTAGCATGCCAGCGGGCTAGTTCAACAGCCAATTCGAGGCCATACCTAATTTTTGGCCCGAAAAGTTTAAGTTAGACATTTTTAAGGTCTTCAGAACCATATTTTGATGTTGTGAATCATTTTTTTCACTTTCAGAACCCATTAGAGCTTCTACTATCAATTTTGAGTATTTTAACAAGTTTTGAAACATAAATTCTCAACTTTTTTCACCGTAATTGATGCGCCAACTTTAAGACACACTTAATTTGTAATTAAGTGTAGTTTACTTAGTTGTCATCCTCGAGTGGAGGTCCGCATTGACATTCAGAGTGATCGCGCCTCATAATCACCTGAAAATTATGATTTTATTATTCAAACAAATTGAAATGCTTCAACATGTACTTTTGGGCTCGACAAGGTTTGATGTCCAAAAATAAGGGGCAACTGATATATCATCAAAAAATTATCTTGATCGAGCATGAATCTCGAGGCAAAATCAAGCTAGAAATTTCCAAAATTAAATTGGGGACCATTCAAACTTGGATTTCAGTAAACTTATAGTCAAATTAAATGTCTCGAAAAGACAAATCCAATGACACCAAATTTACTCAATCTGAGCTCAAATGAACAAGAATCAAAGACCCGAAGCACATTTGGAAAGTTCAAACTATAAATTGGATGATCAAATGATTTTCAAACGTACCATGCTTATTGTTGAATCGAGCGGCTCGACGAGACAAATCCAACGAGCTTGAGATCGTTAAATTTTAACATTATTAAGGCACTCAAATCCTCGATAAACAGTCCATGATCAAGAAAATCAATATCAGCCATTCATTTGAAACACTCCGAACCTACCCTTAATCTTCTCACTATTTAATAGCAATGCCACTTCCATCGGACTTCTCCCTGATGTCGGACTTCGTCCTATTGCCTACTTCCACCAATTATTGGATTTCTTCCCGTCGTTAGACTTCTACTAGATCACCACCCATCATCGAACTTTTGTAGGATCTTTCCTTAATGCCAGACTTTCGTCCATCATTGGACTTCTGCCTATTTATGTACTTTTTCCTGACACTAGACTTTAGTCCATCATCGGGCTTGTGTCCGTCATCGTACTTCCTCCCATCATCGAACTTCTGTCCGTCGTAGGACTAACATTAAACTTCCGCTCGGCCGCCAACTGATAGAGGATTTTTGCTCGAGCGTCGAATGTCATTAGACTTCCATCCTATCTCCATTTGCCACTAGTTTTTAACCCAACGGTTGACTTATGTAATCTGATCGTCCTCAATTTAAAGGACAAACCAGTTAGTTGTAATATATTCAAACATTAGTGGAATCATTTCATCTAGGCATGATTTCATGGTTTTTCCCTTTAGGGTTTTCCACGTAAAAATTCAAGTATTTCTTTTTACTCGGTTTGTGTGCTGGATACTCATGCAGTGCTAAGACGTATATTTTACTACCATGAATACTATAGCCCACAACAATTCTGAATTCCAAAAAAGCTCTATTGAATTCTCAATGTATATTAAATATCATAAATGTTAAATATTTACAACCAAACAACTACATAGGAATTTATTTATAAAATTAATTTTTTCACTAATCTCATTCGGAGGCAAAAATCATTTTTAAAAAATAGAGATTTTATTTTACTTATTTTGAATGTAAAATTAAAATTATTTTTCTATTAAACATTAAGGATGTTTTTTAAAAATATATAAAAATTTAACTATTTCGATCAAATAATAAAATTTTAATTTTATTAAATTTTAAATATAAAAATTTACTTTAAATAATCAAAACAGCCATGGGAACGAATTTTATAGCTGTTTATTGAAATCTACATATTGTACTTTGGATTATGTCAAATTAGCAATTTTTTTTTTCAAAAACAAACCTCTCTTGTGCTTTTGTAACTATCTCTTACATGTGTTTTTTGATGTCAAGTATGAGTTTTGGGTGGTATAAGAGTAATATTAAACTTTGAGGTGTTAGATATGTAAATGATTAGAAATATAGTGGTATGTATGTAAATTTCCCTTTTTTTTTGGCACTTTAGGTGTTTATTTTTCTTTTGCTTTCACTAATTTCAAGTTTTTTGATCTTCTACCTATGCAACTAATTTTTTTCTTTTCATTAATGAAAATGGGCTTGCCCGAATTTTCCCAAAAAAAAAAAATCTTTCAGAAATCGGTTTCCGGGCTTTGCAGATTTGATCCTTCGAAGTGCGAAACTGTTTGGTGAGGCGAGAGCTCATCGATCTACCGATCCTCTTCTACATGGGCGGTGACGGGAAACTCCTGCGACTTCTATGCTCTAAGAAGACCCTGCTCTACCCGAGGGAACAGGGTCTTCGGTGGCTGATCGGATCTCCTCTCTTCCTCCCATCATTCAACGTTGTTTCCTCCTTCCGATGTCTCCACTACCTACCTAGCGATCCCTGCTCCCCGAACTTTACTAAAGAAGCAGGTCCCTCCCTCATCTGTCATTCCTTTCTCCCTATTGTGAGATTAATGCTTTCATCAGCTTCGGGTTTCCAAATTGAATCTATTATTTTTTTTTCACGTGGTGAATCAATATTAGGAGTAGAAATTTACAAGCAAAAATTTATGAAGAACGATGTAATTTTGCAAACAAGTGTATTCGTGTTTTATGTGAAGTTTGGTTTCCTTAGACCCACGAATTTGTGAATATTATTGCGCTGATTTAACTGATACCGAGTTTTACTAGTTAGTTGAGTATGACTCGTATAGAAGCTGTAGAGAAGAGAGTATTGAGGAGTAAGAATGACAGGATAAGAGACAGCTAAATTCACTGCATTACATTGAAAGAGCAACATGGATGCTGTCATACATTTGGATATATTATACTCTAATGCTTGTAACCTGATACATAAGGGTATATAGGTAGTTGAGAGATCGTGGACTGATGGAGAGGAAAGAGGTTTCTGTTATAGCTCTATATCTGAGATTAAATCTTTTGGTAGAGTAGTGACTGAGGTTGGTAGTGCCTGCAGCCATGCAGGCCACCGGTCTGAATTTGATTGGAAAATTGATAGTGATTTGTTACCTACCCTCAAGATAATGCTCCGTGGATTGTATTGCTAGCTTGCTTTGAAGGCCGTGGTAGTGAGGGACAGGTAAGGACTTAGTAAGAATGTCTACAATTTGATCGTAGATGGTGACGCGATGCACATGAATTTCTTTGGAGTGTATGTCATAATAGATGAAGTAATAATCAATCTTGATATGTTTGATGCGTGTATGAAATGTCGGGTTGTTTGCTGGTGCCATGGCAGACATGTTGTCACAATGGATTGAAGTGCTGAATTCCTAAGGTAATCATTGTACCCAAATAACTTCGGTTACATATGTAGCTAAGGATCTGTGCTTAACTTTTGTGGAGGATTGTGTCACCATGGATTTTTTCTTGACACTCCATGAATTAAGGGTCATTCCTAGGAAGAGGTAATATCCAATTGTGGATTTTTGATCTTCAATGTTACTGGCCAAATCCGAGTTTGAATAGAATTGTAGGTAAGGTCATTGATAGTGTTGGGTAGATTGTGTTTTTGATGCCATTTAAGGTTCAAATACGATCTTTTATGCTATCATTGGCATTGCCAATGATAATGATTTTGTCTATATAAACTAAATTGTAGATGGGTTTGTTGTTGCAATTGTAAATGAGTAGAGGGGTCTGCAGTGTTTAGTTTGAAACCATAAGCAAGGAGGTGATTTAAGAAGGCCGAGTACCATTGCTCCGGTGCTTGGTTGAGATCATATATGACTTTTTGTAGAAGGCACATGTGTTATTGGATATTGTGGATCTACAAGTCTTAGTGGTTGGGATATGTGGACGATGTCATAAAGCTTGCCATGGATAAATGCATTCGAGATGTTGAACTGAAGAACTGATCAGTGTTGGTGAGTGGCAATTGTGAAAGGAATGCGAATAGTTGGCATTTTAGGAATTTGGACTAAATGTCTCATTTGTAGTATATGTTTTGTGATTTGAAGCCATGTGTGATAGGATGTGCTTTGTGGCATGTTATTGTGTTGTCAGCATTGTATTTTGTTTTGTAAGTCCACATGTAGCCAAGAACATTGTGATGTGATAGCGGAGGAACTAAGGCCAATGAACAAGTTTGATGGCTTGTGTGAAATAGGTGGGGTCTGGTGAGATAGTGATTTGGTGAACTTGGTCGAATAAGATTTTTGGTTTTATAGCAATTTTGTATGTAGTGTATAGGTAGGTTAAGATGGCTATGTTGTTGAAATGGTTAAGTGGTGATGTAAGCAAAGGGGGGGTCAAATCAAACTCAAAAAAATTTGGTTTTGACTTCCCTTGAGCTTGCTAGCTCATTAATTTTTGAGGTAAGATTTAGCTCATTATGAGCTGGTTTTTAGTTCATTTATTGAACTAAGAGTTAGCTCACTATGAGCTATGTTTTTTAGTTCACTTATTAATAGCTCATTAATGTTGTCTCTTCTCCTTCCCCTTGTCTTTTTGTTTCCCGTGCCTTGGCTCCTTGGTTCCCACGGCTGCCTCCTTGGTTCTTGCGGTTGCCTCTTCGGGTTCCGCCTGGGCTGTTTTCCGTGACTTTTGGGGGGCTTTTCCGTGGCTTTGGTGCTTCGTTTCTTGGAGTTGACTGTTGGCTTTTCATTTCCCTCATTTATATTATGAATATGAAAGGTCATTGTGGCTATTTGTATTCCCCTCTCTTGTCTATAAATATAAGTTGTTTTGGGATGTTTTAGATATGTTATGTGAATGATTTTTGGAAATGTAAACTTGCGGGTTTGTTGGAAAAACTTGCGAGCTTGTTCCATTCTCCTTCTCTTCTCTCTTTGGAAATCTCGCGAGCTCTTTCCGCCGTTCGTCTTAGTTTCTAATCTCTTTCGTCTCTCCGCAAGTATCCACCTCACATGTATCCTTCTTCTCTTGGAAAGCAAGTTTAGGGTGTCTTCTTTGAGTCGTTTATGTGAGTCAAGTTTGTAAGTGTCCAAGTTGTAATAGTTTTTTTTTAATATGAAAGTTGTTTTTTAGTTCAATTGTCATATTTTGTGTCTTTTTTAGCAATTCATATCATTTTCTATTTTGTAGAAAGGTTTTGTTTTTGTGATAAAAAATTTGGGTC